AAAACACACATTGTATTGGTACAACGTATTCACATGTGATGAGAAAACCGAGAAACATCTATCTGTACGACAGTGCCCGATTGACAATTTCAAACTGATGCCACTGACTGAATTTAAACTAACAAACGTAACCTCTAACATCGTTTAATTCCATCTATAGAGCGTGGCTTTCAACAGTAAACTCATAACCGCTCTAATTTAAGAATGTGTGAAATGGTGCAGGGGTGTAACGTCTCCTGGAAGCATTAGTGCACACTTCCTACGGCAGCCAGGAATAATGTTCTAGCATCTAATGCCCTGTTTATGCCTGTGTGGTCCAGAGTAGACTGAAGCGGGCCAAGCTAAAGCCGGGCCTAAGAAGGGCACACACACACAAGGACCACAGTGAAGCCATGCTTGCAGAAGACCACCAGCGCTCGGCCGACAAAGAGCAGATATTCGCAGCGACCCTGACGTGTTCAGAGACAGCAGAAAGTCAACGGCATGAATGAAAATACAGTCTGTCTCGTGAGCGGCTATAATTAGCAGAATGTGCAGTCAGGAGTTTCTCATTTGACCTTCCAGTGTGAAAAATCACTAAAATCTGAGGTGGAAAATGAGAAATGGAAATACATTGATTTAGAATGGACTGCGCTCCTGCTAGCATTTATTTGCACATGCTGTCTGTGTTGTTTCAGCATCTGAATTACTAAAGGAACTACACAAATCACATTAACTTTCTTAATTCACACTATTGCTCTTACTGTGAACAATTAATCAGTGCATGGTAGTAAAGTAAAGTAAAGTAATACAAATCCTGCCTTTAAAACAAGTTGTGCAAATGAAATTATTTTACATTTTTCGGTTCACTGAATACCCTCTGTACTTACTTATCAAATAAAATGAAATACAATAAAATAAACTAAAATAAAAATTCTGCCTCTAAAACAACTTTACAAAAAAAAGTTTGACATTTTTTTCTTATTGAATATCCTGTTTCTTTTGGTAATAGCACATTACAGAGGTAAAACGCGTTACAAATCATGCACTGATCAATGTGAACAATTAATTGGTGCATGGTACTTCAATAAAATATAAATATAATCAGCCTATAAAACAAAAAATAAATAAATAAAATAAAATTAATTGAAAATCCTATTTACTTTCTTAATACACAATCTTGCTCATACTGAAAAAGATTAATCAATGTATGGTTTTCATATAAAATAAAATATTAAAATAAAACAAAAAATGTAATTAAATTAAATAAATAAAACATAAAATTAAAATAATAAAATAAACATCTTTTCAAATGAAAAATCAAATCAAATTGCAATGGATCCAATGAAGTCACAAGCAACATTTTTCTATATCTAATTACAAACTGCCAAAAAAGAAAATTTGCATGAATAAAATATATTACAATTAAATCAATCATTAAACTCACTAAATTGTGTGGTTGAAAATTCATAACGGAAAAACATTTGCTAAGAATGCACTGTCAAATAAAAGCATTTATTTGCACGCGCTGTCTGTTGTTTCAGCATCCGAGTCACTAAAGGAACTACACAAATCATATAACTGATCACAATTCACGCAAGCATGCAAAATATGACTAAACAACAACCATTTTAGACCAGGCAGTTCTTCCACGCAAGAGTTAATGTCATTATCATTAAGAAATATACACAAACATCACATTAAAATAAACCTTTGTTTATCACCAGATTTATGTGGGTGGTAATAGCACAATGTAATGGTGTTAATGGTTAATAGACTCATTAACGCACAAAAGAATGACAATGAATCAATTAAAATTAAAATTTAAATATGAATGACGCAATGCTATACCAGCACAGTTTTTTAAGTTTAAAGGGAAAATTCACCCAATTACTCACTCTCCTGTTATTCCAAACCTGTACGAGTTTCTTTCTTCTGTTGCCGGTAGCCATTGACTTCCATAGTATTTTTTTCCTTACTATGGAAGTCAATGGCTACCGTCAACTGTTTGGTTACCAACATTCTTCAAAGTATCTCCTTTCATGTTTAACAGAAGAAAGAAACTCATACAGTTTGAGGGTGAGTAAATGATGACAGAATTTCATCTTCTAAATTGTACGGCTACATGTTTCTAGCTTAACTTACTAAGCGCAATAAAGTGCTTGTCTAATCAGACGTTCTCAGACGTTTAGGGAACGAACGGTCTGCTCTGCTGTGGGCGAAACATTTCCTGTCAAGACCACAGCACATCCTCTGAGCTGAGATTTTCATTATTTTCATACGCACCACCATCCCATAATATAAGCAGTCTAGGAGAAACATCAGGAGATCTTTACAGTTTCTGAAGAACAGACAAGTGCAAACTTCCCACCATGATACTAAGCTTTCATAGATGGATGCTAGGGTATTGTTGGTGGTTGCTAGGCTGTTCTGAGTGGTTGTTAGGGTGTTCTAAGTGGTTCTTAGGCTAATCAGAGTGTTTTCTAGAATGTTCAAAGTAGGGCTGTGCGATTTGGGGGAAATATCAAATTGCGATTTTTTTGACAGATAAGCATTACGAGACAGCCTGCGTGAGTGCGGGATTCGCGCTGCGTGGGGCAGAGAGGAGCGAGTATGAGAAGCATTCACAGACACAGGCTGTGTGTGCGCTCTTCTGAATTGGGAATAGCCAACATGCATTATAAACTTATTTCAAATTAATCTGTTGGGGAGATAAAATGTGTAAGATAACGTTCACGTACTAACAAAAACATCTAAGAATGTATCTTTTATTCTCCAGTACTGAAAACAGAACCTATACGGGAGCTTTTGATATGCGCTGTGACGCAGCTCTTGCAAATTACATTTTTTGTTCGTTGTCTGTCATTTCGAAGCTTAAGTTGCATACGGTTTTCTTTAGTTTTAATTTGCTTAACTATTGATCTGACCCAGTAGACGCCATAATCCCACTCTGTCTTTCTCCCGTCCCGCTTTCCGTTTATTTTTTTTTTATGGTGGATGTTTACGCAGTTGGCTAGAGCAGTGCTGATTGGAGAGAACGGAGGTGCGCTCACTCTTGCCCAGGGCAAGTAAGACTGCAACTCAAGGCTGGCAGTCATGCATATGCTCTGGAACAGAGTAATATCGCGTCCACATCGCAGGCGATTAGGAAATCGCAACGTCTCAAATAGCGATTCGATTCGATTTCGATTAATCGCACAGCCCTAGTTCAAAGTGGTTCCTAAACTGATGGTTGCTATGCTGTTCTGAGTGGATTCGATAGTGTTGTGGGTGGCTTATAGGTTGTCCTGAGTGGTTGCTAGGCTGATTTGAATGGTTGCTAGGTTGTTTTGAGTCATTGTTAGGGTGTAATAAATTGTTGCTGAGTGGTTACCAGGGTGTTCTACGTGGTTGTTGGGCTTTTCTGAGTGGCTATTATGATGTTCTGAATAGTTGCTAGGTTGTTCTGAGTGGTTGCTAGGCTGTTTTGAGTGGTTTTTAGGCTGTTCTGAGTGGTTGCTAGGCTGTTTTACGTGGTTGTTTGGCTTTTTTGAGTGGCTACTATGATGTTCTGAATAGTTGCTAGGTTGTTCTGAGTGGTTGTTAGGCTGTTCTGAGTGGTTGCTAGACAGTCCTGAGTGGTTGATAAGCTGTTGTAAGGTTGCTAGGCTGTTCTGAGTTGCTGTTCTAAGATTGGTAGGCTGTTCTAAGTTGCAGTTCTATGGTTTCTAGATTGTTCTAAACTATTCTAAGGTTGCTAGGCTGTTCTAAGCTGTTCTAATGTTGCCAGGCTGACTGTTCTGAGAGTTTGCTAGGCTGTTGTAAGTTGCGTTCTAATGTTGCCAGGCTGTTTGTTCTGAGTGGTTGCTAGGCTGTTCTAAGTTGCAGTTCTAAGGTTGCTAGGCTGTTCTAATGTTGCCAGGCTGACTGTTCTGAGTGGTTGCTAGGCTGTTCTAAGTTGCAGTTCTAAGCTGTTCTAAGGTGCCTACTTGCTGGTCCAAATCAAAAGCGATCACTCTCAAGTGACATTCTGGTCTGTGGCTCAGCCCCTCCTTTAACTTAAGTGTTGGTTTAAATACTAGGAAGTGTAATTTTGATTTTAAAGTCACATGAACACACAAAATTCAGTGTAGCACCTAACATGACCCCGAAACAGGAGAGAGAGAGAGAGAGAGAGAGTGTGAGCACTGCAGAAGCACATGTTTTTCCGCGCTTACACAAACACCTGAGGAGCGCGCTCTGACCGTGTGCCAAAATCCAAACCTGTGAGCCGCGCAAAACAGACGGATGAATCACGGTCGCTAATGCGCTTGTTAAGGTGCCGTGGGGCGTCACGAGAGCCAGATGTGATCCAAGAGCCAATGCAGCGACTGTCATTTCTCAAAGAGCCAATTATGTAACTTACGCTGAGACACACCTGGAGCCTAAACAGCACCCGCGTGGGACTAAACGCACCACAGAGAGTTAACAAGCACAGGAATGAGACCGGGACGTGGAGAGGCTGAAAGACAGAAACGGAGTTGCCTGAAAATCCCAGCCCCTTCCTTTTGGACTGACAGGAGCTGAGGTTGCATCCCGCTGGATGTGAGTAGGAAACGCAGGACCACTGACAAGAGGGCTGAACCCTCTCCGCTGCTCTGATGTCACCAAACACATGACCCAGCCTCTCCAGTAACAGCCCATCAGGAGGGGAAAGAAGTGTTTTAAAGCTTACACGTTTTTGGATTGCGAGAATGTCTCATTCCCCTCACAAACAACCACAGAACCACAAGTGCGGTGCACAAGATTTCCCCAGGACGACAGGAGGGAGCCACTGGGGCGTAAATGGTTAATCCGAGTGGGTCAACCCCAGTCACAGAGACCCAACAAGTCAGTAAGTACGCTCTAACCACACTCGTATATGCCGTTGATATCTGTGCCTGAACGTTTTGGGAAACACATGGCCGTGCGCCGGCTGCTTTTGTTTGTTTGTCGCCGCTTGCATTCAGATGCCTTGATATGATTTGTGCTCCCAGTTTAGGACTTCAAGGGTCACCACGACCTCCAGAGGAGGAGAGAGCCGAGGAGATCCACGTGTGGCTATGGCGTCTAACAGTCTTTTCAGCTCGGTGACTCCGTGTCAGCAGAACTTTTTCTGGGGTGAGTGCTGTGAAAAATTATTTTCATTTCACTGCGGTTCAGTGGCGGGGGAAGCAGAAGTCGAGCGGGTCGATAACCGACGGCGCACGCGTTTCACTGCGGTTCAGTGGCGGGTCACACAGAAGTCGAGCGGGTCGATAACCGACGGCGCACGCGCACGGGAACGTTAAAAGTCGGCGTGTTTGGGTTCGCGTGCATGCGAGATGCTGACTTGTTTGTGTAAGTTAAGAACACATATGTGGGACGACGAGGCAAAGACAGAGAAAAACCCTTCTGGATGTATAAACATTCACTCTGTTTCAATTTACAGAGCTACATTGGAACAAGATGTGGAAAGCTTGCAATAGTGCAGGGTTTGCAGTGGTTAATTCTAATTGATAAATGGTTAACGAGGGAGCTTATATTTATTCTTATGAATGAAAAGCACTTTAACAAACATGCAATGCTTTTTATTTGCGTTCAGCTAAGTTTAGTCTTTTTCAAACATGCAAAAGGAAATAAAATAGAGCTTTTTAACAAAGTCTTTAGGTCTGACATTGAGCAAAACTGGGAGTGTAAATTGAGTCCAGCATTATACAGCACACAAAAAAGCCACATGTAAAACACAATCTATACAAAACCTATTTGAATACCTCAGCTATTCAAAATATACTAACAAGTAAAAGCCAAACAAATCTTGATCTTATCACACAGCACGTATGGAAATAAAAATACAAAACACTGTTGACAGAGCGATCAGAGATTGTACTTACAGTATTTTCCTCATCAAGTTTCTCATGTCGACGTAATCGGAGGCCCTTCTAGACAAACATATGGAGGCAGGATATTGAGTCGGAGCCAGACAGCGTGAGCTACATGGTTTTGTCATCACTGTCGATGCACATCAAGGCGTTCGAGGTGGCGTCTCTAAAACACGAGGCTGCAGAGGCGCGTTATACCTCACACACCCCGAAAACATTAGAATATACCGCTTGATATTATTGCATACTAACTTATTCAGGAAAATACACACAGTGAGCTTACATACCTTCATTACAAACCTTCAAAATCAGGAAGCATCCATTTCAAACATCTTGCTTTGATTTAAAGCACAAACTGACACTAGATAGCTGTTGTTCTAGCATCAAAATGGAAAAAAACATTTAATTTCTTGATTCCCTATAAGGTAAAAGGCACTTAAACCAACCTGCAAACCCTTTAATTTTCCTTTTTATTTGTGTTCAGCTTAGTCTAGGCTTTTTGAAAGATGCAAAAGAAAAGAAAATGCAAATTAAACAGATTTTTAACAAAATGAAGAGCTCTATAAAAGTTTTTGACATCTAATATAACATACTGTTGTTTTATCATCAAAACTGAAAAACCATTCAATTTCTTGATTCATATATGTTAAAAAGCAATTAAACAAACATGCTTAATTGAAACATAATTTTCCTATTTATTTGTTTTCAGCACAGTCAAGGCTTTTTCAAGCATGCAAAAGGAAATAAAATGCCAATTGAATAGAGATTTTTACCAAAATACCCTGCATAAGGGGTCTATAAAAGTTTTTGAGGTCTGATATAAAATTATTTTGTTTTAGTATCAAAATAGAAAAATCATGTTATTAATTCTCTATAAGCTAAAAAGCACTTAAATATGCAAACCTTTTGATTTTCCTCTCTATTTGCGTTCATCCTAGTTTAGGCTTTTTCAAACACACAAAAAGAAATAAAATGGCAATTGACTGGAGCTTTTTTTTTACTGGGTTTCTAAAAGTTTTTGAGGTCCAACATAACCTATTGTTGTTCTAGCATCAAAATGGAAAAAAAAAAAAATCTTGATATCCTATAAGTTAAAGAAATATCTCGAAAGGCGAAAGCATCTTATTTCTACAGATTTTAAAAGTCAAAGACACTGAATGGGATATGTAGCTAGCAATATTCAAATTAAAGACTAGATTTTAATTATATTTTACATTCATAATTGCATATTATATTTTGGTTTAGGACAGGGTTAATAGTTAAACAGGGTTAACTGTTTAGAATGAGAATAAACCCTTAAACTTAAAGCAGGATACACTAATAATGATGCTTGCACTAAGTGGTGGTCTAGATACTAAAATGCTGAAATACGTCCTACAGTTGATATTTAGATTCACATTACCAATCAAAATTCAACACAGCACCAAATGTGAACCTGAAATATGAGAGCGTACTGCAGCAGCACAAACATCTTGTCACATTCCCCCGTTTACACAAACTCAAACATTATTAATGATGCTCAGACTCCTTCAGGTGACGAACGGCCATCACATGCAACACTTACAGATGTTAAACAAGCTCTTGGCAAATTTCGTAGAGCGTCACTAATCAATTAGCAGCATGTTGTTGGGCTCAGAGGTGACATGTGCTTCTCATTTAGAGCCAGTGCTGATATCCTGGCCTGGATTGAGCGGCTTCATTCAGCTAATTGATAATCACATCTCTCGTTTACGCTAGAAAAACAACATTAATGGACAAAACGCGACCTGGTCAACCAAGTCTCAGAGAGCGAGCAGTCAGAGCAGTCCAGCTTATTCAAAAGAAAGTTAAACATTAATGAAATGCAATATCTATAGCCAGGTGGAGGGCTTGTTTTTTTTTATTGGAAATTTAAATCCTCAATTATTTTATAGTAAAAAAAAAAGTCTCAAATTAAAAAGGAATCAGTTGATCTAATAATATGCATTGAGAGACAAATGAAATGAGAGATTTATGCTCTTTGCTTTCTTATCTGCATTGTTTTATATCATCAAAACCTAATTTGTGAGGAAAAAAGTTTGCATTTATCTTGGCTTCAACATCAAGGACATCTACGCATTTTTATAACGCTGTATTGGCTGCAGAGGGCTTGAAATCATTTACCCCATGTGCGACACGTTAGAACCAAATCACTGCATCTCTCAGACCATGTGCATTTCCTTAACGCGAGTTTGTCACTAACGTAATGCGTGCGATAATCTGTCTCAAAATCTATAATTACCCATTCACGACCGGACAGCTTCAAGAGACCAAAATCAATGATAACGGACAGTGTGTCAGGAAAAAAAAAAAGACATGAACAAGAAAAGGAAACATAATTAGACAGAATACTGACTGAATGGTAAAGAAAAATGAGCTTTGATTCCTCAGAGGACGAGGTTGTAATGTGATATGAGACACACTGATGCAGAAGTTCATTTCTGCTGGAGCTGCTCAAAGCAAACAGAGAAACCAGAGGAGAACAAATAGCTGTGTTCGCTTTTCCTTAAAAAGTCTCAGACCACATCTTGATTTCTGAGATTTTGAACATTTCAAAACATTATGATGTATAAAGAAAAATAAATATTTTAAATTCTGCACTATTTCTAGGTGACGAATTTGACTAAATCTGATCATGTGATTCTACTGAAGCTTAAGGTGCACTTTAAAACATCCGAATTCATGCTGGAGAACATGATCACCAGGTTGTGTACATTCAAATCTAAATTGTGCATTTTGCCAAGTTAATTTTTAAAAACAATAATTGTTATGCACAATCATTTGCAATGAAAAATGAATCTAAAACAACTATTTTCACTAGTTATCTCACTAAACATTTATTCAGATTACACATGGATTATGGTCTCAATGATGTTATATTTCTATTGCATTTCTATGCAGTCTCAACATTACTTAAAAAGCATTGTCTAACTTCTTTAAAAGAAATGCATAATCTTAATACTAAAAAAATGCATTTACTGTACTTTAAATTAACTAATTTCATTTGACTTCAAATGCAATCAAAACGCCATAATCTGGACACCAAGAATGACATTTCCATTCTAAAAAAAGAGCCACTTCTCTCATGGAGATCCTGCGCCACACACCGTATCCAACGTGCTTCAAAGAGGGGCATTGATGTCTCATACAAACTTGAAGGGAGCTTCTTAGAAAATAATCAAACACTTAACCATGGAGTCTCACACAGCCAAACAAAACATTCAAAGTGGGAAACAATAAATAGTCCCATAACACGAAGAGACCCGACTTCTGTTAACGTGGAAACCCAGTCAACAAACCATCAGAGTGGCCACAAACCATCTTGAAATCATAGCCAGCCAACCCAGCGCCTCTCATATATCACCGTTTGAAGCAGTCACTGATGGAAATATACATGAAAATACTGAATTCATAGGCAGTCGATTGTGTACGAGGGATGGAGCCAATGGTTGATGTAAGTGTATTTAAAGAGGAGGATTACAGAGCTGGAGTCCAGACAAACAGCTCCGATAATGAATGGCCCCTTCATACCGCAAGCTTGAGACGTCTTTCAGAACATCTCAGCAATGAAAAGGAGGAATAATATAGAGATTTCTGATTTCGAGAACAGTACTTTACAAATACATTTTTAAAGTTATAATAATAAGGAAATAACACTTGTGAAATGCTTCCGTTTTGCATCTTTTCTGATTTAACACAACACTTTCTTTACAAACAGAGTTTCTTTAGGTTTTATGTGGGTAAATTTAAATTAAGTAAACTGAAATGAACACAATACATCAATACGGTCTCTAATGTAAATGTTTTGTATTAGCAATGCTTCAAAGTTTGAAAATACAACTTCCAACAGAGTGATTAAAACAAGAACATATATCAGAAAAATCTACTTAATTCAAAAGGAAAACAAGTCTTCATTTTCCATTGACAGATTTTTATTCTTGTTTTAAGCATAAACTTAATTTTATTCAATTTCTCACAAAACAATACATAATTTATTCAATTTGCATCTGCAGTAATGTATCTTGATTTAAGGATGTTTAGATATTTGTATTGGAAAACAAAATAAAAATAATGAGGAAGAGATTCATTTTTTTGCAGTTGCACTTGGGTGACTTTATGAATAGGCCTACAAGTTTTTCTGCTCTGATTTAAGACCTGTTTAGGGCCTTCTTTTGTGGAAGGGTGAAATAAGACTTTTTAAGAGCTGCTGAAAGAAGCACTGTGATTGATTTATTTTATAAT